ACGATATATTATATGATATTATATCTCACTAAATTGTACAATCCACCAATTTTCAATACCAAAAGCATCAGTTGGTATTTTGTACCTCGTGTTTCATCCAGATAAGTGTGGAAAAGTAATGCACCTTAGAGTTTGATCCTCCTTTCTACTCGGTAAATAAACGAACTCTGTGCATTACTCCGACAGAAATTCAAATTTGCATATCTAACTGCGGTACTGCACTGGCTCCAGACACAAATCCCTGACGATGGATTATCAAACGAGGACATAACTGGAGTTCAACTATGGTAAATTACCCGGTCACAGTGAAACAGAATGACAAGTTAACAGTGGAACATACTGTATTTCAAGCCGGATGTGTGCATCAAATTGGACAACAAGTTTCCGTTGTTCAATCTTTGTAATTAAGCGATCTAACACATTTTTCCTGATACTTTTGACGAAAAAATGTGATGAAATGGCACAAGCCTCACACAGATTTCGTGCTGAGGTGATACAGAAATTAAAAGAGCAATGATGTTTTCATCGTTGGTGTACCACAGTATTGTAATCTGTCAATTCTCGGCGAGCTTTCGCAGAACTGCATCAGTTAACCGTTTCATCTAGATGAATGTTTCTTAGTGTTATAGCAATGCTAGAGCGAAAGCACCACTGGAATCCACATGTTTATATTATTCGCATGTAGCGAATCATGTGTTTGAGATGCATAAAAATATTTCGTGTCTATATACGCTTGGAATAAAATAAGGTTTTTATTTGTTATGCATTCTTATCAAACCTTTCAATAACAAAAAGGAATCAGTCACCATTAACAATCGTTGGAGTTTGTAGACCACATGTGGAGCCAAACATTACAAATAATTCCACAGAAAAAGATCGAAGGCTGTAATAAGAAGTGTATTTTGCATATAGCAATCTTCCAATGCGGTTCAGACAGTACTTTCATGAGTTGGGCCGTCGTAAAAACAGCCTGCAAAGGTACAACTATAGCCAACTATGGTGATCTCCATCGATTCAACTGTTGTTTTGATGAACAGAGATTCATCTAAATGAGCCGATCATCATCTTTCTGAGAAACTTGTCGTTTTAACAATATATTATTCATCTCCTCTGAGAGCAAGGAAAATGATGATGATCTAAATCTAGAAAATTGTTTATTGATCTTAGTTACCTGCTTTCCAGCAGGTTGGCTTCAACTTTCACTTCAGTTTCTAGAATTCCAAAAATCAAACCGTTGTGGTAAATGAGTGAAAGAAATGAGACTGAAACACCTGAGGAGTAATTACTTTCGTTTTGGTTCATGTCACCCACTAATTTATCTGGTCAACACAATTTATTTATTATAACCGGATAGACGACCTCTCCCAGTGTGATCTACCAGGCTTAATGCTTTCACCGTCTTCATTTTACCCCAAAACAAAGATTTCCCAAGGAGGTGAAAAATAATATTTTGCATTGAACTAATTGAACTAATTTATTCACTGAAGTCAACTATGCAATAGTGCAAGAGTTTGTATTGATTGTTTATTAGATAGACATGGAAGGATTAGTACACAGCCAGGAGTATGAGTATCCAAAACGACCGTTATTCGTTACTACCATATGAGAGGTTCTGTTGGCTAGCTTTAGAAATTTGCTAACGACTTAGTTAGATGAAGCACACTCAGTGATGGATTTTTCCCTTTCACGTCCTCACGTGGTGGATAATTTCGAAAATTCAGCTATTGGGATGTATGAACGATTTCGGGAACAAGGCTTATTCTACGAATTCTCTTTCCCGATTAACACCCATTATCAATTTGGTATCAAATTTATTCTGTTCATGTTTTTCACTAAACCCTAAACCTTTACTTGAATGATATTTCTGTCGGGTAAAGTAGTCTTTCCTTTTGGCAATCACAACGTAACTCAAGTAAAATGCCCCTCAAAGAGTGAACGTTCAGCACTCTTTGATCTTGGATCCGAACTTGTAACCTCAAATTTATTCACCTTTGTTTGGTCGTTCAATTCCATATCAAGCAAAATGCGTTGAAAATATCTCATTCAAGCAAAATGAACATAAACTTATGGATACACCCGGCGTTTAGTAAAACATGAATGTGAAATAATGTGTCATTGCATTTCCGAAGAAATATCAGGCACATATAAGCAGCACAATTTCATCTTATACGGTCACTAATCATGTTCTTTCTTTTAGAAGGTTTAGTTGTTCCTTTCCAACCGCCCAAATACGGGATAGATCTCCCGGTTGACCAGATTGGTACAAGTTACGCCACTGACTTGTATTGTCACTTAAACTGATTCTAATTCCTGACACTTCCAATACACACAGGTATTATTATTATAGACAGGGCACTTCACTTCAGGCAACATCTGCAGCCAGCTTTTGGATAGTCATATCCTCCTCGTCGCTAATAATACACTGAAGACATTCATCGTAATGTGACAGGAGTTTCTTTCCCAATGTCTTGTTATTCCAGTGTAAATCAGTAGTCATACATTTAGTAAACCATCTAGCACATGCACTGCAAGAGAATATTTCATTCTTTCACTTTTTAAAGAAAAACCGAGTTTGTGGGAGCCAGCCAATTTGTAAAATGCAAGTTTTATTTTCTCATCGCGATACCGTATTTCATTCATTCATTCGCTTTACCGTAATCCATGCGTAATTTACGACAAATACAGTATTGTTCTTAATAATGTAAAATAGTTCTCAAATGGTCACATTCGATAAAATATTGCCCGTATAGTTTTAACGAGTCCCACCTTACCTATTGTAGAATCAGCAAATGCTTTTCGAAACGTTTGTGAGTTTCATCGGCTCAAATGCAAATTGATCGCACTTCCTCTCCATAACTTTGAAATAAAGAACAGTCAATAAAGTATAAACAATAAAAGATTTAGACGATCGAGTCAACGTGGAAAATTTCGATAAACTCAGGAAGGTTATCTTAGTAACAAGTAACAAGAACAAACGCAATATACATAAATTAGCCCGTAAAAAAGGAGCAACTGAATGCTAAGCTCTCTAATCTGATTTACGTAAGTACACTACCTTTTTCAAGGACCGGCCAAAGTGTCAGCTGCAACGGATTTTAAATAGTCTTAATTCCTCTCGAGACATATTTGATGGAATTTGCTAGTCAGAATTTGTCTTGCAGTTGATAACCCTGCCAGATTTACTTATTGCAGCTTAGCATCGCCAGAAAATTGTAGTCGTTTACTGGTTGTGAACATACTAGATAGTCAGAAAATCATTACATTTTAAAATTAAAAAATACTTCACGAGTTTGATTTTCATTTGAGACAAATCGTTTTGCCCAAAACTGTTTATTTATCAATCCAAAGACTGAGTTCCAGTCTGGAATAAGTACAGGTGTTGTAGAAAATAAGCTGACTGTCAACTTGATTAAACTTGGCTTTTATTGAGTCACCAAAACCGGCCACGCTTCACTTTGTTGGTACAGAGAGACGGCACTTCGCGTTTCAAATATGCTAATCAGTCCTATCGATGTTGTATAATCAGCGTAGCAATTGCTTTTTGATCACAAGCAATGTTTTTCGCAAACAGTTTAACTTAAAAGGATGATTCACGCAAATCCCCATTGGTCTTTCAAGAATGATATTTAGTCCTATCCGTTACGCCTCACACTATTTACCTTTGCAACTTCGGAAAGTAGGAAGTATCATCTACTTCAGATAGGAACAACCTGAAGGGTTTGTGCCGATCTGAGATATGACCGTTCCCTCACCATTTATATGCATGCATTTTAGTGCTAACCAACCAAATGACGCAACCAAACATTAGGGTCGAAAAACTGCATTTCATGGCTCACGCAAGAAGAATACAGTTATTATGGTTGTATTTCATTAATTATAGCCGAATTTGTTGAACATTGGTTCTGAGACTAAAACTTTTCTAATTCTAACCATTTATATCGTCTACAAACTCACAGTGCCAAAGAATGTTCAATTCAGAGAAGACGCATTCGGGTTGATACCTCAAAACTGCCCGCTGGAATGGCGGCGTTGTTACGTTTCCTTCAGGACACACTAATGAGAAATAATGAAAAATAATGACTTCTGTGTGCCGCGAAAAGGTTACTTAAAGCCCAGGCTTGATACAGCTTGACACATCTCATGCTACAGCACTAATGACGGTACGCTTCACGATGAAATGAAGTTCCGCCGAGGGATGATTTACATACTCAGGCCTCGGTGTGGCAGTTCTGTTTTCACTTTAATTCCGATTACAGTTTTCAGGAAACTGTGAATCAATTTATTTTTGTTTCTGTTCAATCGTTTCATTTGAATTTCATCAGTGGTATATCTCATTGTTATTCAATGAAAAATGTGTATTATCTTACTCCTTTCTGATGAAATCAGTACATATACAAGGGATTTGCTCCCAGATTTCATGACTCCGGCGATAGACAAAGGTGATTATTTCTTATGCTGCCTATCATAACGTGTTTAAGCTTACCTCGGTACACCTGTCTTTCTTCAATTTATTCAAAGCCGTAAGTTTGTTTGGAGCTGCACCAAATCTGTACTTTTTGAAATATCGATTACACGTGAAGCATCTTTCATCGATTAAAGGATACTTGGAAAACGCGTAGTGCCCCAGGTTTGCACCGGTTCTAGTTCACACTGCACTGCCTAAGAGACGTTCAATTACATGAGAGTAAATTATAGCTAGACGAGGCAGAATGAGAAACGTAAAAAATAATTTCAAGTGTATTTTATGTCCAATCTCTACGTCACGTGATGGTCATCATCAGCACCATCATCATCGACGGCGGATGGTATTGGACAAAACAAATGCGATCAGGATGTCTCTGAAGAGGGCTAATGAGCGGTATGCATTTGATTCAGGTGTTTCCAGTGTCTTATAGACCCTGATGAGGAAGATGATAGCATGAATTGCGAAACAAAAAAAAATAGATATAACAACAAGAAATAAAATTCGAATTGGTTCACTCCGTCAGAATTCAATCCAATTAATTGCCTGCGCCTTGATCCATTGTGTTTGCCTGAGTCCAGTTGTCTGTAGTCATTCCCGAAGAGGCATGTGACAAGCCTGTGAAATTAAGATTGGATTAAAAATGTTTATACCATTTTATACACGTAGAATGACTACTTTCTTCAATAGGTGTATTTTGTCACGCAAAATAGATTTGACAACAGAGTCTACCCTAAGAAGAATTNCAACGTAGAAAGTAATAATCAAAACAGACACGTTTACCAAGTAGAGGTATACTGAAACGCACTGCTCGGTCAACAGGCTGCTCACAAGCACACATAACTACCTATGAACAAATTTTGCAACATAAAAGAGCGTTCTGGCGTGGTGTACAGCCTAATCGTACAAAGTTTACTACTAGAGTAACATAGCGGAAGATAATGACCATATGTCTCATCCCCGTACATGATCCGGCT